ATATATATATATATATATATATATATATATATATATTACTCTTAAGAAATATGTTGGTGAAAAAAAATAAAATGTAATAGAACAGTATAAATGTCTAAAAAATGTGAAGACCAAAAGAAGATAATCCTTTTATAAATATTAATAAGGTTGAAATATTTCATGTTTCTATAAATCTTATTTAAAAATAATATAAAATAAAAATAATAAAAGTTACAGTATATAAATAAAAAATGTTAGACGTGGTTATAAAATAAATGAATACGTGATTATAAAATAAGTAAATAATTATTATTGATAAATTAAATAATTAATTTTTTACGTATATATATGTATATATATTTATATGAAGATGGAAAAAAGATTAATATATAATAAAGAGATATAATTTTTTTTTTTTAAATGGAAAGCAAAGAAAGAAATCCCCTTTGTAAAAGCTAATTTACCTTAGTCGTCTTTCCAAATGACAATTTCTAATTTGATGAATGATGGTAGGAGAAGGAAAAGGCTCCCCATTCTGGTTCACTACATGTGAAGAAAAGAGGTTTCAACTACATACGGTGATTGCATAACTAATGGCAGTTCAAAAGTTGCGTAAAGGTTAAGTATCAATAACTGCATAAATATATACAAGAGCAGGATCTATGACTTGGTTCATAGTGCTACTTGGGCGATTTATTAAGTTTGTTATTTAAATTTTATCAATTTATGAATTGTGTTTTGTTTATTCTTTGACACTCTATGTTTCAATTGATCAATGGGCCATGGGTTATACTTTGTTGAATTCTTATTTAAAGAAAGGTACAAAACATTCAGCCAATAAAAATACATATAGCTGTGTTACTTTCATTGCCTAATGTCTATTTTGGTGATTAAATTATGGATCAGTATCATAATGTATAAGCGGAAGAAAAGCGATTCTAGACATGTGGTTCGGTTTAGTTTGGCACGTCATGATAAAATGGAATAAACTTTTTTGAGATTGGAATATTACCAAAGCAAAAATAAATATGGTATTTTTTTTAACATATTTTCTTATTTTAAAACAGAAGTCAAATCTCAATTTCTTTTGGTACCATGTATGAACTTAATAGAACAACAAAAGATATATTACAGTTAAATGAAATTAAATATACTAAATAAAACTTAATTATCATTCTATTGTTTCAATAATTTTATGATAAAATAAAACAAACTAATTCTACCACGCACATCTTAAATTTAAAGGAAAAACTGTGAAATGAAATTAAATAATATACATTCATCAAATTTTGTATTATTTTGAAGGAACACAAAACTATTCATTTTTTTTTTCACTAAAGACGCTCTCAATTAAAAGTTGGAGATTAATTTTCTTAGAGTTTTCTTAGAGATGTAAAATCATTTAAGTAAATTTTGTTTTTCCTAAAGTTTTTCCATACACAAATTTATTTTTATAAAGTTTGATTATTTTTTTTATATTTAAAAAAATTAAAATTCGATCTCTAACTATTTTAATAAACGACATGATCCTTTGTCATTTGCACCTATTTAAATTAATCTTAAAGTTAGCTTGAACTATTATTTTTATGATGATATATAAGTTATAAGTATAGCATATAATGTAGTATTTTTTAATTTTGATGACATAGATAAATAAATTAAAATTATGAGTGAAATATAAATGATTAATTTAGATAAAAAATTTTAAAAATACAAATATAAAAATATAGAACTAGTTTTTTTTAATAAAAAATTTAAATTAAGACAAAATACAATCTCATACAAGACACGGCCATTTTTCAACTTGTCTTATCTTAAATTAACCCCCAAACAGAGCGTAAGTAAGTGTGTAAAAAAATATAATTATTTTTAGAAAATAATAGCAAGGTGTTGGAAAATGGAAAATGGAAAATGGAAAACGGAAAGACACGGCCATAAATTTGCTGGTGGCACGAATGTGATCCCCATAGGTTCTGTCCTTGTTCCCTTGGCCCCTATATATTCACATGCACCGCATGCTTCTCTCACTTCCACACTTTCTCTGAAATCCTTTGATTTGTTCAGGTACTATACTACCCAGCCATGGTGCTCTTCAATGTCTCACGCCTACAGACCACTCCCTTTGATGGCCAGAAGCCCGGAACCTCTGGTCTCCGCAAGAAGGTTTCGTTTCTTCCCATTTCATCCTTTGCTTTTCCTGCCGGATATATTCTTTCTTATTTTGTTCTTTTTGACAATTCTGCTACCGGATCTTCTCTTTTGCTGAGATCTTCCCAATCCGATCTGATTTCGATCAACTTGTCGTGCACTGTGTTTCATATGAATCGTGATTCGATTCGTTTTAAGCAATCTACGATCAATCAAATTGTTTAGCCCTTTGGAATTGCATTCTACTTTTAATTAAATTTTCTGTTGCAAGATCTGTTTCGCATTGGTGCTTGTTTCCTCTTCATTGCTCATTCATTACCTGTGCGATTAATAGTTGGTCGGCTGGATCTTTTCAGGTGAAAGTATTCGTGCAACCTCATTACCTTCATAACTTTGTTCAGGCAACATTCAATGCGTTAACTGAGGAGAAAGTTAGAGGTAGGAGTTCTTCATGTCTTACTTTGCTTCAAACTCACGCTAGCCAAATATTGCCAGTTTTACTGCGCCAGAAACCAACATGCTTTTTTTTTGTTCTCATAATAAAAGAAGATATGGATCATATATTTTCAGAAATTGTTTTCTTTTTTAGTTTCCATTATACCGTGGGATTGTTAGAACCGTTTCTTTTATTCTTGTAGGTGCAACGCTAGTTGTATCCGGTGATGGTCGTTATTTTTCAAAGGAAGCTATTCAGGTGCTTTTTCACTGTCCACTTCTCTTGCTTTTTAATGTACACTTCTTGGTGTCTAAGGTAGTTGGTTTATTGATTATGTTATGAGTGCTGTCAAATTGGTAATATACTTTGGGAAACTTTTCATTTACATTGCTCTGATGTCTTACGAAATTTCTTTGATGTTGTCACTTTGAAATTGAGCGCTTATTTTCTTTGTTTTAATTTGATTTGTACTGTCCTGTACATCTAAACTAGGTAGGCACTTTAACTAATCTGACTGCACCACTTGTGGTCTTTTGGATATTGTCGAGATCCCACATTGACTAAATAAATATCACTCTGGAAAAGAGACTTGTTTTGTTTCTTTTAACTTACTATACCATTGGATATGTATCTTGTCACTTATGACTTATATGAGAGAACATTCATTCCTTGTGCAGATTATAACTAAAATGTCAGCAGCAAATGGAGTAAGACGTGTTTGGATTGGTCAAAATGGATTGCTGTCAACTCCTGCAGTATCTGCTGTTATACGTGAAAGAGTTGGAGCTGACGTGAGTAATTTTTTCTATAGTTTGCTTCTCATTGTTCTTGCTTCTCTCTATTATGCTTAGAATATGTTTGTTTCCTTGAAGTTAATCAATATTTTTATGGTGGAATTACAATAGGTATCATTTTGTTCTGAATTAAATCAAAATAGTGGATAAAAAAATTGTTATCTTTACAGGGAGCCAAGGCAACAGGTGCATTTATACTGACAGCAAGTCACAATCCTGGTGGCCCTAATGAGGCAAGTACTGCCATATTTTTACTTTAGTCATTTCTGGATGAATTAAATTGGATTGCTGAGTATGATGACATCTGGTATAAGGATTTAATGTGCGGATCTCTGTTTTGGTCAATTTGTGAAATCTGAACTTAGTTGACTGACATTTAGCCTGTAGCTTGGCCACTTGAATTATTTGAGGTTGAACTTTATTGCTTGGATCAATGTAATTTATGTGGAACATGAATTCACAATTTATTTGATAACACTTTTGTACTCTTCTGTTCCAACTTGATCACATGATTAGTGATATGGCAAGTGGTTCCCAGATGATACTTTTTATTAGGATCTGTTTGGATAGTTAAAAACCAAATAGCAAGAAATAGTGGGAAAACATACGATTACATTTATGTGACCAAGAAAATATTTTTGTGTGTCCCTTCCCCAAAAAGTCAAATAAGCTTTCAGCCATGATCAATTACCTTTAGGTTTTAAAATCAGTTTCTTTCTCTCAGATATCAACAAGACATAATATTAAGTTAATAAGGTGAATATTTTCAAAGGTAAATGTTGGACTGGATGGGTGTTAGTCTTGATTTTAAAGAAGTAGAGTGAATGTAGGTTTCTTTTTTGGTATTATGGTGAGACCTTGTTGCTTACTAATTAACACTGGATGATTGTTACTGTCTTTTGGTTTCCATTATGCAGGATTTTGGGATTAAATATAACATGGAAAATGGTGGACCTGCACCAGAGGGAATTACTAACAAGATATATGAATTCACAACAACAATTAAGGAGTACTTGATTGCTGAAGATCTGCCAGATGTACTGCTCGTAACTTGGCTACAAATGCTTCCCTTTTCTTTACCACCTTGTTTTTAGATCAGTGTGCAATGTGTTTCATCAACCTAAACCTGGTTCTCCATTCTCTATTTGTTTCCCAGGTGGATATCACCACAGCTGGTGTTACAAACTTTACAGGCCCTGAAGGACCATTTGATGTTGAGGTGTTTGACTCAGCAAGTGACTATATAAAATTGATGAAGTGAGATTTTTTTACAACTTTATCTTACACTCTGCATTTATGCAAAGAAGTTTCATGTTAAATGGATTTATTTGTAACATGCCATTATGCCAATTAACCTGCAAAACTGGAGAACATTGAAGGAAGAAAATGTTTAAATTAGTCAAACTGCAAGAGTTTGTTTTAATAGACTTTCCTGCCTTTTCCATTTGGAGTATTCATTTTTGAGTCGCATGAGGCAGTTCTTACTACAACCAATCTTGATTTTAATAGATCATCAAAATGTTCTAGTGTTCACAAGTGCTTCCACTGATTCAATCCTTTCTTATCCCATGATTGAAATTTTGCAGGTCAATTTTTGATTTTGAATCTATCAGGAAACTGCTGTCATCTCCTAAATTCACATTCTGGTATATTTTGTGGTGGTTAAACTGAGATTTATTTGTTATATTTTCTTCATCTCAAAACCTAATGGTAAGTTTCTTTAACTTAATTGAAGTTATGATGCACTACATGGGGTTGCTGGAGCTTATGCCAAGCGTATTTTTGTGGATGAACTTGGGGCACAAGAAAGCTCTTTACTGAACTGTACACCAAAGGTCTTACTCTATTGTTGATTAATGCCAAGGATAGCTTTATTTAAGTATTCTAAATGATATAGTGTTGATTTACCTTCGATTTGTGGATGACTTTGTTGGATATAGGAAGACTTTGGAGGAGGGCACCCAGACCCCAATTTGACATATGCAAAAGAGTTGGTTGCTCGGTTGGGATTGGGCAAAACAGAACCACAAGAAGAGCCCCCAGAGTTTGGTGCGGCTGCTGATGGTGATGCAGATCGCAACATGATACTTGGTAAAAGGTAGTGTTGCCCTTCATTTGTATTTTGTGATGTTTAAATATTTTTGAACCTTTTGTGTGTAATATTTATGTATCCCTTGTTTGTTAGGTTTTTTGTCACTCCTTCAGATTCCGTGGCCATTATTGCTGCAAATGCTGTTGAATCTATACCATACTTCTCTGCTGGTTTAAAGGGTGTTGCCAGGTTTTCATCATACTTTTCAAGTCTTAAACTTCTCTCTGTCTCAATTTCATCATCAGTGTGTTTTTGCATGCAAATAAGCATGTGTGGCAATGTGCATTTGTGTGTCATGCAGTAATTGCAGGGTTATACTTGCATATGCTTGGTAGTTATCAACTATCTTGTAATCATCTAGCTAGTTGCTGCAACAGGTGTGATTAAATTTGTTTCTAGTTGGACAATGAAATGTCTCCCACAATTTTGTTGTTTTAAAAAAAAAATTAATCAATAATAGGTGGTGCGTTACAAAGAGAGTGTTGCTAACATTTGTCTTGAATTAAATACAAAGGTTTAAATATTTATACTTGTTGGTTATATATTTCTCCCAATGACCAAAGTTGATCTTCCATTGGTTCTTGAGCTTATATGCTAACAACTTGATCGTTTGGGTTACTTAATTTTCTTATCACCACCGATATATTAATTTTAAATTATAAATATTTTATAGGAGCATGCCAACCTCGGCTGCCCTGGATGTTGTGGCCAAACATCTGAATTTGAAGTTTTTTGAGGTACTCTCTTCCAGTGTCTTCAAGTATGAAAATGCTCACTGGTGACATAGATATGTGATTTAATTTATTTTTAATGCCAGGTCCCCACCGGTTGGAAGTTCTTTGGTAATTTAATGGATGCTGGATTGTGTTCAGTCTGTGGTGAAGAAAGTTTCGGGACTGGTACGAGTTTGCTTTTAGCATTAAGAGGAGCAAACTACAACTTTAAACTTTATTAAAACCTAGTTTTATCATGTGATTATTCCTTTTGTTTGTGGATAGGTTCTGACCATATCCGTGAAAAAGATGGAATCTGGGCAGTTTTGGCCTGGCTGTCTATACTTGCGTATAAAAATAAAGATACACTTGAAGACAAGCTTGTTACCGTTGAAGATATTGTTCGCCAGCATTGGGCTACTTATGGGCGCCACTATTATACACGATATGACTACGAGGTATGATACAATCATATTTTGTCTTACTTTGGCATAATCTGTCTTGATAATCAGTTAATGACCTTTTTTTTTTTTTTTTTTTTTTTTTTTTTTTATTTTTTTATATAAAAAGAATGTGGATGCAGGTGCAGCAAAGGAATTGATGGGATATCTGGTCAAGCTGCAGTCCTCACTTTCAGAAGTCAATGAGTATGCTAATTTAGTACACCAACATTATTTTAATATTGAGATTGCTTATAGTATGAATTTCTTATGATGATGTAAAGGTCCATTTGGTTGCCAAAATAGGATAAAAGTAAGATAAACATTAATCTTATCACATGTCTGATTCATATCATGATGATAATAAACTAGATAACTTTATAACAATATGTATTTTGTGTTTAATATATACCAATTAGATATTATATAAATTATATTCAAATAACCAAATTTTTGTATCCTTAAAATTACATATAATTTTTTAAAACAATAAGTTTTACTTTAATTATTTAAAAATTTTAATTGTTATAACTAGTATTTTAATATGTGCAATGCATATATATGTTTATGGTATATAATTAAATTTATAATAAATTATATATAAATGAATACTATATTTGACAAATATGTAAATTATATTTAAAATTTGTATAAGTAGATATTTTTAAATATATAAAATATTACAATTATATAATATTTTTAAAATTATAATTATTATTCAAATGTTTTTCTAAAAAAATATTTAAGTAATAATTTTATTTTAATATTTTAGTTAATAATATACTTTAAATTTACATGTCAAAATTACTATAATTATATATAAATTAAATGCTGAATGTAAAATTTATAATATATATTTTATGAATTAATATTTAATACTATATATGTTATTTATTATATATATATGTAGTATAATATCTCTAAAAATATATATATGTAGCATAATATAATATAAATAATAATTTTAATTTTAATTTTTTGGTTAATAATTATTTTAAATTTACATGTCAAAATTATTATAATTATAAATAAGATAAAATTTTGAAATGTAAATATAACCTTTTTTTGTTGTCCCTTTGAATGTTTGAAATGTAATGAAGTATAATTCGATTGATTTTTTGGTTTTTAGAGAGGATATCCATATTCTTATTTTAAATTATTCATAATTTATGGTTGGTTCGATTGGACCACCTTGAAAAGAGAACATTAAGCCCAACTTCCTGTGTGTCATCCTCCAGCGTCACCTCAAGTGGCTGATCATATACATCTGTTCCTTAGCTTATGGATGGCTAGTATGAATGGAAATTACTGATTACTGAGGATTGAGTCTAAAATTAATTAGTCGATGAACTTGGAATGATGAATCTGTTATATTTACTTTTAAAATTACTCCATGAGTTGAATTTGTGGATTATCATAAATCTAACGAATTTTATTCGCTGTCCTTTTAGGATTGTGAAGGGGGTAAGGTCAGATGTTTCTAATGTTGTAAACGCTGATGAATTTGAATACAAAGATCCCGTCGATGGTTCCGTTTCATCACACCAGGGAATCCGATATTTGTTTGAGGACGGATCACGATTGGTGAGTTTACTGACTTAATTGTAAAGGGATTTCAGGTGGACTTTTGGAATTCAAAGTGCATTTTCTTGCGTATAATTATTAATTATCTTTCTTCTTTTCCCATTGATAGAAATTCAAAATTAATGTGGGATGTTGTTTTGATGGATGTATTCCATTTTTCATTGTTTTACGGACTTTATTAATTGTTTTGTTTTCATGTTAAATATGTTACCTTAGATTTTCCGCCTCTCTGGAACTGGATCAGAAGGTGCAACTATTAGACTGTACATTGAGCAATATGAGAAAGATCCATCAAAGATTGGGAGACTTTCAAATGAAGCACTTGCTCCTCTTGTAAGATGCTAATAATATTTAAATATAAAAGTTCTGCCAAGCTTGTAATCTTTTGACCAACTGGAATATTCCAATTACAGGTGGAAGTTGCATTGAAACTTTCAAAGATGGAGGAATTCACTGGTCGATCCGCTCCAACAGTCATTACATGAACGCATACAAGTGGAAGGCGATAAAATCTGAAGCTTCATCGAGTCATTTCTTGTTTGTCCAGTTTCTATCCAGTATCTTAGGGATGGGCGACCTGTACTGTTGTTTGCAGCCTTTGTTTGCTATGGGCACTTGAGTGGAGTTTAAATTGCTTTATTTCTAAATTTTGATGTGCTGAATAATTTGCAACTGCCGAATGCAGATCATAAGTCTTAATGTAATGATTCCTCTTGTATTTATTGGGGGCGCTCTTTCCTTCCTTCTTTTGGTCTTGCCGTGAAAGTTGACGAGCTGAACATGCTAGCTGTGTCGTTGCAAATATCTTTTATTTTCGGGTTATGGGTCATCCTGGATAAATTCCTTGCTTATGTGAACCAGAACCAACCCTCATTATCTAGCATAACGTGCTACCATTGCAGAAGCAACTTCTAAAGAAAACAGAATACATTACCCAAAATCAGTCATTTGATGAGGGAGGACGAGGAAGGAGTTGAGAATTTTAAAGTCACGTACAGTGTTTTAATGTGAAAGAGCTGTTGCCAAAAAAAGAATGGTGGAGCCAAGTATATGTTTGATTTCGGTTTTCAAAATGCAACTAAATAAAGTTTTTCAAATAGCTGGTAAAGGAAAGCATAAAACAGAATGTTAAAAACTCGAGAAGAAAATGAGAGAGGGTCTCACAGTTGTTTGCTTTTTAGGTTTTTAAAACACGTGTTATGAAAATAATTTTCAAAATTTAATGGATTTTGGATGAGATCTTAATTGTTCAGTAGTATGAATTTGCTTTTAAAAGATAGATTTTAAAATAGAAAAGAGAAGGAAATCAAAGATGCCTTACTCTAAGGACTGTGAAAATATGTAGGATAGGACATTGTTTTATAACCCAAATAAATCTTAACCTATTGGGCCTGAGGGCCCAAATTGGAGTCTGGGCTGACAAATTTCGTTTGTCAAGTTACTCCTGTTTGATTTGACTAAAACGGAAAATGGCTAACCCAACAAAAAAAAAAGAAGTAAAAGGACTAGACCCGCAGATCGTAGTACGGGAGAGCAACCTGGTAGAGCTGTGCTTGTAGTGGCACAATGGGAATGATCAAAATCTTCAATACCGAACAATTAACCTTTCGAGTACAAGCCAGAGAGAGATTTTTAAGAGAAAATTTTCATTTCTAGATACCAAAATTCATAAATATTATAATTTTTTTATTAAAGTTATATATGAAAATTTCATTTCATTTTTTAGCTTTAAATATATTTTTAAGTATTACATTTTGGTTTTTTTTATTTATTAAAATTTACGAAATCGACTAAATTAAATCAGGTGTGGAATAATTAACCAAAAATAAAAAAGTAAATCAATTTAATACATAAGGATAAATTTGTAATTCAGCAAATAATTTTGAGTGGCTAATGACTGTTTTTTTTTTCACTCATTAAACGAATAAAATCCCTAAATTCCTAAACCGTAATTGGCATCTCACTTGAGTCAAGCCAGCTAAGCGACAGATCCTTAGTGGTTTAGTTTGAATTGTTACATGAATCCTATCTGCAAGTCAGTGTCCTATCTTATTGCACTCTACCTCTAATTTCTCCATTTTTTCAAACTTTTCTTTGCTGAAAATTTCAAATTTCTGCAGGCATTGATTTATGGAAATGACCTTTTCTTAGCCTCTGTTGATTGGTTCCTCAAAAGGGGTCAAACTTGTTTGTTTTAATTTAAGTGAAATTGATTGATTGATTTTCATTAAATTGCTCCAGTGCAATGGCCTCTGATGATTGATTTTCCTGAAATTGGTCCAGTGCAGTTACTTTTGCCTCCATCCAACAAAGAAACGATAGAGTATTGATTTCATTGTATCATAACTATGAATAGTAGAAAACATATTTGAGACTGTGACTCAGATTGAGACCCTTCTCTCTTTCTCTCTTAATTTTCGATAATATATATATAACAAATGATCAAGTAATCTCGATTTCTTAATATTGTGTTCATTGCTTTCAATCCTTGTCAAGTTGAACTCGCATTTTGCATTTTGAAAGTTACCGTGAAACAACTAAACTACGAATTTTTTTTACCATATTTCCTGTGGCTCTACGAGGATTTCAACTTGAAGATGCTGTTTGTAATCCGTGTGTGAGAAGATAAGATTATAATTAGCTAGATTTTCTCCTTTCCGATCGTATTATAATAATTTGATGGCAAGTTCAGTACAAGCCTCTTAACATAAGTCCTAGTATAATACAAAAGACTAGTTATATCAGGTGACCACATAAGACAAACAACATTCATTAGTTATGCTGTTGTGCTTCCCAAGTCCCAACATTGTTTTCTTACATTAAATAAACGTAAACTCATGAAGTTTTTTATTTTTATATCTTTTCCCCATTTATAATTCATGAATGATTGACCTTGGGTAGGCAACCAGACCTGACTCATCACAAGTTTGATATCATGCTAAACTAAACTATTCTCACAGTCTTAATGTGAACCATAGCCATTTCACAAACTAAGTTGTGGCGTTACTAAATTACAGTGATCCATTTCACCAAAGTTCATTTTGATGGCTGCAACATTATTTTAATTATCCTTGCATTGACCGTTTTATTGAAAAGGTGTAATTTCTAGGAACAGTAAGAGTTATATGTTTAAGACACATAACCCGAGAGTTATATCTTTAAAGACTCTCGTAACATGAGAGTTGCGTTTATGTGTTGAATTTAGATGAAGGTCACAATAAACTTTGATACTGGTTTGTTATTATGTAAGGTTTCATATCAAAGGTTAAAATTGTATTTGAATCAAAATGCATATTAAAACTTAAACAGTTAAACTGCAACAAGGAAGTAAACTAGACTTAAAAAGTAATAACTTAACAACCAATCAGCCATGTTTGTGATTCAGGAAAATTGTACTACTAAACAATAACAAAGAAAGATACATATATAAGTCAAGAATTAATGCAACACTACTTGGGATATGGCAACTGATCAGTGCATAAGGTCCTAAGGACCTGTACCTTCTAGAGTTAGAACATTATGAAACTTATGTTTATCCTATTATTTAATTACTTTATTCATTATGGTTTAATATATTTCTATATAAAACATCCTGGTGTACCAATACCCTACTGTTAATTGCATATGATAAACAAAGATCGGAATAAAGCAAAAAGTTCGAAGATTTGTCCAACCAAATAATATGGTACACGTTCAGCACACACATTATTAATTCTACTATTTCAACCATCTACTTCATCACCTGCAACATCTCATCCTGTAGAGAGATCAACTTGGATGCAAGGGACACACTCACCATCTAATTCACAACCATCTGAAGGCCCTAGATGAAGTGAAACAGTTGTTGCATGGAAGACACAAAGTGGTGGCAAGCCATATCTTGTGTGAGATAGCATTGTACATCTGAAAGGATGAATGAAAATCATCTGTCTCCATATCTTGTTCCCATCCCTCCAAAAAAAAATAGCCCCACATCAATTAATGTAAGATTATTTGACCGTGTTTACTTGTTTGTTTCATTCTCGGTTACTTTGTTTTCTTCCAATCAACCGTGTCTATGGATAACTGGCTATCCTGCTTCCACGAAACCACCGGTTTCCCGACTCCATGGTGGGGGCTCGAGAAATGGTGGCGATGGTTTTTTCCCTCATGTCGGCTATCTAGATTCAGAGGTTATGGAGGGTCACTTTACATTGCCGGCCATAATGCCACATTATAGGTAATAACCATATTGTTGCTACAAAATATTTATGGATTTCAATTTTCGTTATAACCCAAAGCCGAAAATTAATTTGAAAGCTTAACAAAAAATAAGGCCAACATGTACACTACCTTTTAGCATTGACGTCACAAATGCAAAATTAACACAAACATGCGTTGGCTTTGTCGCCAATGCTAGTTTTGTGTCATTCGATATCACTTAAACCATTCACCCAACTCAAGTTTTCTTCCTATAGTTACTCTTTATCCTATTTAAGTGACCGTGCTAATAAAAAAATATTTCATTGTTTGCTTACTCTTGTTCTAATCGATTGAATCTCAGCCGAAAATGATTTAACGAGCCTTTCAAATTCCTTATCAATTTCAATAATGGATACTCTTTACCTTTTTTAAGCAACTATGTTAATATAAAAATATTTCATTGTTTGATTACTTTCATTCTAATTGATTGAATCTTAACAAAAAAAAAGTTTTAATGAGCCTTTCAAATTCCTTATCAATTTCAATGATTATTTTTCTTTCCTTAGATTAAAAAGTTGAATACTAATAAATTTTTTGACTTAAATTTTAGTGATCCTTCATGGTCGTACACTAATAGCACAACTAATAGCAGTGAGTAACAACTAATAACTTAAAATTATAAGTTTGTTGATATAAATACAATAATCTAAACGTGAATTATATAACTTAAATTGTTAGTCAAACAATTCTTATACAAAGTACTACACTGCAATAGTACCAAAATATAAACAACATTGTCATACTCCTAATAGCCACCTTGATATAGCACCTCACATGACTTACATGACTTACACCTGGCGTCATCATATCGATGCTTGGCATCGTCTAAGTAGACAGTGTCGGCTCGATCACATTGGGTTCCACGTAACTTGGGGTTTGACATCACCAAGTCAAAGACATCCTAGTACTTTCACGCTCGATGTCATTCAAACCATGTCTAGCACCATTCCAACTTGATACGAGCCTTTCTCCTCATGTTTGACATCACTGATCCTATGCTTGATGTGACAAGACAAAAAATCTCATGTTGAAACAACGTTCGATGCTTTAAAGGCGCACTCGGCACAACATGATTCCTACACTTATGTAAATTGCAAATTTTATCATTCCACCTGAAACTTAGCCAAAATCACATATGTAACATAAGATATTGTCCCTACTCAATATAAGCAACTCAAAAATCTAACTCAAAACCAATATGCAACAACAATTCATGACAAATAAACACATTCTTTCTCATGAACCCAAAACCCCAACTCTCATTTGCAACCCATGTTGATTTTCCCAACAAAACCATGAATCTCAAAGGAATTCATACAACATACAACTTGCAAATCAATACACAACTCAGCTACTCAATCAAAACCAAAACCCAATTTTCCTTACCTCAAGATCAATCTAAAAAATGACAAAGAGGAGGAAAAGATCCCACACGACTCTGAGAAGCTCCACACGGCTACACTAGCTTGATTCTAGGTTCTTATTGTTAGGATGCAAGTA